CGTCGCTCTTCGGGGCAGCCCGGCGGTGTCTGCTCGAGCGACGACGCTCCTCATCTGACTCGGTGTGGTAGTCTTCCCAGTCGGACGGGTCGTGCCGGTGACGGTCTCGGCTTCTATCGCGGCGTGCCCTGTGGCCCCGCCTGCGAGAGTCTTCCGAACCGGCTGGGTCATCTTCAGAGGGGTATCCTCCCCCTCCGGCATCGCGATATTGCCCGTGGCGTGCCTCGCGGTTATCGCGGTATCGCCAGCGGCGTGCCTCGCGGTCTTCATCCGTCCTGTGACGGGGTCTTCTGCGTCGGAATACCGGGTGTATTCCGCTTCCGTCCTGTGCGTGCCAGGTGCACGTGTTGTGCTCAACCGGTACGGGTCCCGATTCTCTATCTCGGGGAGCCCCATGCGGTTTTCTGTCCCGTGGGGGTCGCCCGTACCGGCGAGTATAGGGAGGACATTTTCTGTGGTCCTCCCTGTAGCACCGTGAACGGTTGGGAGATAGGTGACTCTTCCCTCCGGGTGAGGATCCATTCTATCAACCCCGGGTACGGCGCCGATCGGATCAGCGATATTAAAGCTTGAGTCAGGAACGGTTTCACGGCGCGGCGCCGGCGGGGGTACCGCGCCTCCTGTTTCGGTAAATGTCGTGGCCAGATGGATGGCCACGGCGGAGCTAATAGCTCCCTTTAGAGCCAATGCGGTCGGAGATTCGTCCTCCTCCGCGGCGAGAGCTGCCACCACCTCATCGCGTACAAGGGGGGCGATCTTCTCGTCTAGCAGGGCGCGGAGCGCGGTGTCCGCATGCTCCGTCACCAGTCGTGGTGCCGTTCGGTCGACGCAAACCTGGACGACCTGAGGTAATTCCTCAGCGAGGAGATCTTCCATCCAGGTTTGTAGTCGCGGGAATAACGTGTCGTACAGTACTTGTACGCGGTTCCCCCCACCAGCCGGTAACCCGGCGGTGGTGTCCGAAACGGAAGGGGTCTTCTGGCCCCTCGTAGACGGTGGGCGTAGCAGGGCTTCTGGATTGTCGATCCGGGAGCGCTGTTCGCCTCTGCCACTGCGGGTACTTGCCCGCCCGGAGGCGGTATCTTCTTCGGAGGAATCCGCACGGTTCATCGTCTTATCACTGGCGATCGACGTGGTGATTTTCGACCTCTTTCAATCCGATCGGAAATTGCTCGCGCTGGCGATTCAGTGCGGGCTCAACTTCTGTAGTTATATTCCCTCCACAGGAGTACCAAAATGTGGTATAACTACCTTTTTCCCGACCACTCGGAAACGAGGGGGGTTAGAGGTAAGGGAGCGCGCGCCGCTGGGTAACCCACGCGCGAACACAAACGTACGGAAGGACTCGAAAAGAGGGAAGGCTCACGTGGCCGATGACGCGCAGTCGGACAGTGGTGTTATAACCGGACGGCCGGTCACGGGTTAGAAACGTGAGACTAAAAGGGAAACCGGAACGGGGATAGCAATTAGCCGTAAAGGGAAGAGAGATGAGTCTGCCCCCTCTTTACTGGGACGGGCAGGTGTCCCCGATCTTAACCCCTAAGTAGGACGCCAGGACACCTGTCCCTCTGCAGTAACTGCCACTTACTGTGTACCAGCTACTGTACACAATTACTTAATTTGTGCCATTAACTACTACTTACTAGTTAGCCACCGTACGGATTATACACGTGTGCCCGTGGCCACGATCCCGGCCAACGGTTGTGCCACGTGTTACCCGTGGCCACGCCTGCTGCTACCAGCTGTCCCACGCCGGACCCTTGGGGTACTACTGTACGCGGCGGCGGGCGCGTGTACGCCCGCTCGCTACAGTAGCACCCGCCCTCCCGCGCGGTTATCATCTCGCCGGGGGGTTGTGGTACGGAATTGTACTACAGTTATGTTTCAGTACTCCTACTGTCCCATTGCACGGGTTTCAGTTTTCAGAAAACTATGTCACTAATGGGCGGAACCGGGAGCGTCTATCCTTCTCTTGGCAGAGTGCAATTTATTGCGAGCAGCATTCTTGCATACTACGCTACTGGACATGGTAACCAGGGGGATTCTACATGGCAATCACAACGTGACCAAACACATTGCCTCTCGGAGTTGATTTCTTGGCGTTTAGAGACACAAGAGAGATTTTTTATTCCTTCGCGTTTACTAGCAACTCTTGATGACGAGCTTTATGGTACTAGAGCTGCAGATAATCAAGTGAAGAATTTAAGGTCGCGCAAAGCCGATCGAGAAGGCCATTCTGCAGACGCCATTGCTGATGCCTTGTTTAGAATCACCATGGCACTACGGTTTAGAAGAAGAAGTGAGACAGTAGTTGATTCCGTGCAAAAACCAGTGAGAACTTTGACAGAAGGAAAGGGAGAGCAAGCCCTCGGAGGTTTTATTATATCGGCTGATCGAGGATATGGGAAGGAATCTATTCTTAAATGTCTGATGGAATCTGGGATAGGCTGCATGCTCATAATACCGGAACACACTCTACGAGCGCATCCATTTGTCGGTAAGTCGGACCTTGATCCACTTCCTTGTGACGTCGAGGAGGACGATGAAGGAATGAATGATGCGGTCACCGCACCAAGTACCGTAAATGGCAACGACGCACATACAAATGGTAACAACAACAACGGAATCAGGGAAAATGAAGCGCAAGAGGTCTCTGGCAAACCAGGAAGGACAGGGGAGCTCATCAGCACTGCCCCCGATGCATAATGACAGGCGACGGGCTTTGTTGTAGATGACTACCCTAATTTAGGTCCGGCATGCTTTTTTGCGACGAAGCGCGTGAGACGAGACGGCTCCCGTGCAGTCGGTAATGACAAGATAACTGCCATTGCCATTCGCGAGCATGGGAGAGACAAGTTTGCCAAATTCATCAGGTTCCTTTCCAATGTACCTAGTTTAATTAATGACAATCTGAGAATATGGATTGCGGTACCGAAAGGCTGCATTTTGAACGAGGTTTTGTTTAATAAGCGTGAAAATCTTGGAGCTGTTGTGCGTCCTCCGTCGACCTCGCAGGATCAAAAAGACTTCCTCGAAGGTGAGGTCCTAAAGATGTGTACTGTTTTATCAGGGGGGCAAAGATGCGCCGACTGGTTTGTTGTCAGGCAGTTTCGCATAACGGATACAAACGCTGGAAAGATACTGATGAAAAGTGGACTTGTGCGAGCATTTTTAGGAATGCAAACAGAAAGGGAAGTGGAAGAACGCACGACAGCGCAGTGGTTGAAGATTTTTGAGACGGGTGGTTAAGTGGAAAGGTATCCACAGAACCGATGATGAGAGGATCAGCAAATGAGGGGGCGGTCCTCAAAGCAATGGAACGGATGCTGTTTTTACAAGTGGTGTATGAGTGTGGAATGTTGGGGATTAAAGGTAAGGACTGGTTGGCGTGCTCCCCGAACGCCTTGGCCCTCATTGATGTGGATGAGCTGGAACATGATGCGTGGAGGGCGTCCGACAATGCAAACAGTGGCATGGCCTTCGGAGAACAAATTTTAAATCTTTCTTCTGCTGAGATTAAGACTACGGTTGCACCAGGAACTGTATACCCTGCTCTAACGTTGGATGCTGCTAAAATCATTAGCTGTGACGCTGGGGACGAAAGGTTTCGCCAGTTCGTTCCAGCAAAGCGCATAGGGCAGATGCTTCACCAATTCTTGGTGACTGGGGTCCAGTTTGTCACATACAGTGTTGCAGCAGAAACGGGTATTCTTTACACTGTCGTTGCGAAATGCTCACAAAAAATTGCGGAGACCTCTAAGGAGGTGCAGCCGGCGAAATAGGATTTCTTCGTAACGTGGGCACATTTGGATGGTGCAGAGGCGGCGCCTCCAACCTTTGCTGATGCGGAACTATTATCTACACTCAAGTCAAGGTACTCATTTTGGCGCGCTGTCAACGAATATGTGAAAGGAAAGGGTCCCTTCTCTCCCCTAAAGCTTTTAAAGCAATTTTCTCAAATCCTATACTCTAAGACAAAAGGAAGAGTAGATAGTGGTACGCAGGCAAGAGAAATGTTACGCTTATCAACATAAAATTTAAAGTGGGAGCAGAAGTTGATTTGCAAGACTATCAAGACGTTGTACATTAATGGATTTATAGCCTGGGTAATTTTTCAGAGACGGGATCTTCTCGAAGACAGAGCTTCCTTTCGGTCTTTAGAGTCATACAGAAACGCGCTTAATAAGGTCCAGGCGATGGCTGATTTTAGTCATGATGTAGCTATTGAACTGCTTTCGTATGTAGATGCGATTCAGGAGAGGAGAAACCAAAGCGAGGATCAAGAGCTAGGCGAAACTACTTCAGAAGATGCAAAGCGATTAAGAAACTTGGCTGTAAACCGTCAAAGCAACAGACTTATATTTTTAATGCCCCTGACGGTGTGCGTCTTAGGCTATCAGTCCAATGGCATCAGCCGAAAAAGCAGCCCAAGCTTTGTATTGCGCGCTTTGCGGACAAAACGCAGGGGGCTAGAGAGGACATCGTTCTTCACACAAATGAAATCTTTATAATGTGCACATTTGCATGAGAGTGTGTACCCTGGTTTAAGAAAAAGCTGTTAGTCGGTGTGGCATTTGGCCACAGATCTAGTGACGCGGACCACTACTGCCCCATCCCAATCTCGAAACAGAGCAAACTCAAATGGGTCCGCTCCGCAAAATGTGACCCCAAATCGCCGAGCCCGGAACGATTCGGGTAGCTCTTCAGAGTCTCCGAGGACTAGAAGACGCATTCTTGAGAGTAGCACTCTACGGAGCAGCACCGCGCGGCGAACACGACGCACTTCTCGACGGAGTTATCGTCGTCAAAGAAGCCAAAGGGCATGAACATAGGTAAACAATACCCTTAAGGGCTGCAGTTGGTCTATTTTGTCCTTCTTCGGACCGTGCTGCTGATCACTACACCGATCATGGGTTTATTTTGGGTGTCTTTTTCTTGGCTGAGAACCCGAAATTAGAGGCCCTCTATCTTCCACACCAGTAGTGTTTGGCTCTTGAGACTCAGCAGAATGGTTGATATCGGGGTCTTCTACCCCTGAACCAAGTTTCGTGACTGACGCTCAAACATGGATCGAACCTTTGTTGGGTGAAAGATCCATGATCAGTGTACTGATCATGGGCGGCTGGCATTAGGGATATACTCATTGATGGCAATGGCATCGCTTTTGCGAAAGCAGCGCGCACCAGACTGCGATTCGCGCGAACTACAGTAACGTTCCCGAAAGCACAGTCCTATCACTCGCACGCCAGGTGCGATCCAATTCCGCAACATCCGTAAAGCAGGAATCTGAAATCTGGTTGTGATGTCTTGCCAGCCCTTTTCGTTCTCCACCTAAACTTCGGTCACTATCTGTATGTTCCACACTTGCGCGCTCTTCTCGTTCGACCGAAAAACCGCACGGCTGTCGTCTTCCCTTGCATTTACGCTCTCCGTCCTGGTGCTCAGTAGATGCAAGCTAACCTTCTCCTGGGCTGCAAACTTCCGTCAACTTCTTTCACCACAACGTTGCGTTGCAACTTCCTCCTTGTGCGTCTCCTGTACCGCGTAAGATCATGCATGTGTAACCCCACACTGTCCTTTTCGCAATGCACGTTCTTCTGTCAATACAAACCTATCCTTTATTTCGAGTAACTCTCCGTTGACCCTCCGTCGATCGATTGGCAACCCCCTACCAAAAACATAGGCCTCTGGTTTCGTATCTTCCTAACACCTTGACTCCAATGTACCTTTCAAAGCGAACACAAACGCCATTCTCGCTAACGCTCTCCACACTGGACTTCAGAACATCTCGAGTTACATGCACTGTGGAACGCAGAGACGAGTTCCCATACACTGGCATCTCTCCGCAAATTGTTTTTCGGCTCCTCATCTTATGCGAAAGCACGCTTCCCAGGCCCCTGACACTTCTTCCAAGAAAAGAAAACAAAATTCTCGCTGCGACCACGACTGCGCAGACTGACATCACGGAGCTGAAAGACAATCAAAAAAACGGAAATTCGTTGCAGCACATGGGGTTGCTCCAACGTGAAATCGAGAGGCTCGCTAGCTTCATATACCAGTGCTCATTGAGCTGCAAAGAGACCTGGCAAACCCAAACGATGTGCACGGGTGTCACGCCCTACGGGCACCTTGGTTAATACCCTGCTAACCATAATCTTCCGGACGCAGGCATCCTGCAGTGCTGGAGCTCCTACGTGCGCACCGGGCGATGTTGATATGAAGCTGGAAAGCGTTCCGAATTCACTTTGGAGCGATCGATTATCCTGCGACGACTTTCCGTGAATTTGCCGGTCTTTCAGGCCAATGATACCTGCATGCTGAGTGGTGTTCGCAGCGAGCAATTGGTTTGCCAGCGTTTTTTTTCCTCACAGATCCTTTGTCGCTCAGTGCGACATTTCGTGACAAAGGTGGCTTACGAAGCCGGGCCTGTGAGCCCTAAGACAGCGAATGAATCAGGCATACTGCTCGAAAGCAGTATGGCCTGCTCGAAAATGGAAGGTGGCGATAAAAAGTGAGGACCGGTGTCACTCCCGCGCCACAGACCCAATCCCTTTGCTCCCGCCCAAACAGTGAGCGGCGGCGGGCGGGACATTGGGAAATTTTTGATGTAATACTGTAATTTTGGTAAAACTTTTCGCCTGGTTTTCCGTCCAGGGCCCTCCCAGGGCGCTCGTGCGAAAACATGCATTGCTGTGACTCGAGGCTGCGGTCGAAGTCCGAACGGCCATAGGAAGGGTAAGAGGCAGGTGGGAGTCGGAGGACGGAGAGTTGACGACAATAGACGCGGACATTCTCAAGCAACAGGAAAAGTGTCCACCATGTACAAATACGAGGGCTAGTCGACCTACTTACTGTTATGCCTATTGGACCGTTGTCCTCGTATGAGCCCCGTTCTTTCCCCTTTTTTCTAAACAGGTCATGTGTCTTGTCGCTAAGAGATGCATTCATTCAGTCTCTCCCCTCGCGACCGTGCTCCGATGGACGACCACGATGTTTAAGTGTGGTTACAGCTGACAATTCTCGCTTCTAAGCACGTCCATTTCAACACGAAATTTTCATCTGAGGGGATACTTCACGCTTTGTCTTGCACCTTCCATGGTTGCCGCTCTTCAAATTGTCTTTTAATCGCCATGACACAGTTACCATAATATACAGCATGCACTGAATGTCCAAACATATTCTGTACTGTTGCTTTTCGAACGCACGCCATCGCTCCCCGCAACTTCAACAAATGTCCCATTCCTTTCGACAACTTGTACGCTTCTCGTGCCTCTTGTAGGAATGCATACTCATCCCACAAGCTGAAATATACGTCGACCGACTCCCCCCACTCAATATTTCTTTCTTCAATGTCGAAAAATGGGTGTAAGATGGCCCCGAACTACCAGTCGAGGAGTAACATGTTTTTGCTTTATACCATCATATTCTTTGCATCCTATGTTTCGTCTTGCAAAGTCACCATGCACCATGAATATGGGCTGATTGTATCTATCTAGCTGTTTCGCCATGTCCACTAACGTTGGTATCAGTTGGACAAAGTAGCGCATTGCAGCTCCTAACCCTCTCGCAAATACGCATCAGCAAATAATGCTGATGAACAAGGGAGGCGCTTTGTACATTTTATCGGAACATTATGGGTTGCCGAGCGGCACGCACAGCATGGGCTTTCCGCGGAGGTCGTGAAAAAAGACGAGTTCGTCCCTTGTGAGCTTGTGTGACGTCGTGGAGGCGGCGTTTTGTGTACCGGATTTTATCCTCCGCAAGGTTGGGAGCGAGGTGTTTTGCAATTTCGAGCTGCCGGAAGTGCGCCCCAAGGCTGAGACCACGCGAGGGCACAACGTGTTTGCGGTAGACCATGACGGGACGGGCTGGTAGACATCATGTTTAGCTAAGGGTTTCGTAACGCGTTTTTTGAGGGGGCGACCGGTTATTGAGGAACGAAATGGAGCTTTTGACGACAAGACACAAGACCTGTTTATGAGAAAGGGGAATGAACGGGCCTGGTGTACGTAAGAGGGAAAGCAGCGTGGGTCGTGTGGGTCGACCAACGCGCCAGCGTTGCTGCGTGACTTCATACAACACTTTCGAAGCAGCTATGGCGCAAGAGTCCCAGTGGTTCGTGTCCCGTGTCCCCCATTACGCCCGACCAAGCCTGACTCCCTCCCGCACCAGTTTCCCGAGAAACTGCTCCACTACGTCTTCATTGCGCCCCGCCATCGCGTCCTGGAACTGCCTCGAGGCCCGCGCGGCATCCCTCGCAACCCCGTTCCCCCCGTCCCTCAGCAGGACTGCCATGCTCAACATAGCGTCCCGACCTTTTTGGACGTTTTGGACTGCTAGGTGGAAGCTCTGCTCATGCTTTAGGATTCTTCGGAGCGTCCTTTGTCAATGCGAAGTGCGATGAGGTCCTTGGACATAATTTTGCTGGTGCTTTGCACTGCTGGCGGGCAAAGTCACTTACAGATAGCAACGTCGAGTTCCTTGCAAAGTCAGCACCCAGTGGGCACTTTGATATGGTTGCGGATCCAGCTTGGGAACCACAAGGAAGGTACCTCCTCACCTGCAGCGAAGATAAGACGGCACGGATTAGATAAGACGGCACGGATTATCGCAGAAGTGGAAGAGGACGGATGCCATCGTTTTGTTGAATGGGCGAGACCGCAAGTTCATAGATATGCCTTGTTTGCCGTGCAATTCTGCGATAAAGAGGGTAGAAAATACGTGTCGGGTGCCGAAGAACGCATGTTGAGACTGTTTGAAGCCCCAAGTGGCGTCCGCCGACCGGGGGGAACTGATGTCAATGTATATGGGTCGGAGGGGGCTACATCAGCTGTAGTACCGGAGCTACTAGGCTTGTCGAAAAAAGCCACTTACGAGGCTGAAAAAGAGGACTCAGAGAAAGAAGATGATGACAAGGGGATTAAATCGACAAATGCAGTCGGTGGGGACCTGCTTGTCACTTCGTTTGGAGCAACGCGAGCAAAATCAATCGTGCCTTTAGAAGAAGACCTCAAGTAGAAGGCTGCGATTTGTGCAAGGAGGTCGGGCATGGGGAAGGCAAATGTGGCTCGCTAGTGGAATTGCTGTGGCAAGGCGAGAGTGTGGGTTTTCAATGCCAATAACTGTAAAGCTCTGAGGTTGAGCGGGAAGGGTAGTCTGTCTAAAAGCCCAAGCCGTGCCTGAGTTCCGCCGGTGGAGCATGAATGATGGAAAGGGTCAGTTCAGCGTCACAATCTGACACACTGTACAGTACCCATATGTGCAAGCTCCTAGAGCTTGCACATATAGAGGGAACGCTTTACAGAGAGACTGACAAGGTCGGAGGGTTCATTTTCGAAGATAACCCACCAGTCACAACAGGTTACGGGAAGTTATTTCTTCTTTAAAACATTCTTGTTGTCCCAAAGATAGGGTGACCCCTTGTATGTCTTCAAATAAAGCTATTCTATTTCGGCTGTGCTTCAGAATTCTGTTTTGATTTACACTTGTAATACGCATTGCAAATTTTTGGACAAATCATTGCAGAATTCGTTATGCGTACAGTAAACCCACTATTTTGTGTGGATCGCATATGTGTGGATCGCATCACGTTGCGCAGCACGCACCGGATCAGCGTCTGGCCCACTTCATTGGCCGTGCTGTTTTTTTTTTGGCCTGGCGAACAAACAGCTAGTATGACAAATGGCGATTGCATCTCTACCGGCAACTAGTTCCGCCTCTTCCTTTCGCCTGTATCTCTACACGCAGCAAGTTCCGCCTCCGGAGCACAGGTGAAGAGGCTTTTCACGTGATCGTGTCATCGGTGAAACGGCAGCCGTGCTGTCTCTTTCATTCTGCATGTGGAAAAACTATTAATCCGAAGCCGGAAAGCACAGCGCTCCTTGCCTCACAGGATGAAGCCCCTCTTGCATACTATATGTGGAGAGGCCAGGAAAAAAAAAAAAAACATGGCCGCGGGGGCGTGGGGACGCTGCACTAGAGTAGAGTGCGTGCTACCACTTCGCACACAGCCGCACCAATATACGACAAACCCGTCCTGGCCCCCGTAGACAATCCCTCTACGCCCCACGCCCCACAACCAACGCTACTACATAATATCGTTCGGCATCTTTAGCACCCTGCACCAAACGATAGTGAAAAGCACACACGCACACGTCAGTAAGCCCTGTCTCTCACTCTGCAGAGCTCTCCCTGCTGAACACTGATCCCATATCATCACCAGTACTCTCGTCTTCACCATTTCTGCGCTCTCGCCTGCTCTTGTGGTGCCCGTGTGAGCTGTGGTGTGATGAGTGTTTTGGACGACGCCGGGACGAGCCCGACGCTCCTGTCCCTGCCCCAGCATGTGACATGCTGGATGGCTTAGACGACCTGCTCAAGTCATCCGCAATGGCGCGTTTGACAATGTCTTGTGCTGGTGCGGAAGCAGACTTGGAGTAAGAATGCCGACACTCGTTGCACAGCGGATAAACTTCCGCATTGTTATAGCGCTACATGTCGAGACAGGACAACGAAAAAGAAACAAGCAGGCAGTCGGATTGGCGTCGTGTCAGCATGGTGGAGCGGGGTTTGTGTGTGTGTGTGTGTGTGTTTGTGTGTGTACGTGTGTGTGTGTGTGTGTGTTCGCTAGTGGTGGTGTCATTTGTTCGTTCTGTAGAGTATGCTTACATATGCTGGACGGGCACGGCACATTTTGCAGAGAGCGAGTACGCCCACGGTCTTTTGGAGATCCCTCATGGCGCGGCCTTTGCACGAACGCGGCGGCGACCTCTTGGACTGGCGCCTGCCGCGGACGTGGAGTTGTTCGACGCAAGCATGGCAAGCGGTCTCGTTACACTCGTTGCAGTAGGATACGGCGCTGGCTCGCTCGCAGCCATCGCAAAGGACGCGGACGACCTTGACGGAGCGGCGGCGAGATTCGGAGTCCATGGTGATTACAATATGTTTGGGTGTCGGGTAGTGGGGATAGAGGAAGCGTGCCCAGCGGAAAGAAAAGAAAAGAAGGGCGGGCGATGTCGGGATGGACAAATCGGAGGGTGGGTGAGGGGGTCGGGAAGGAAGGGGTCGGCTGTGGAGGGAGGCGGGTGGCCATTGGCCTAAAAGGAAGTTAGTGCAGTATGGGTGGTGCGCAGATGGCCCCAAAGGTATTGGATTCGCCTCCTGGAGGGGGTGGGAAGCGGCACCCACTGGGAAAACAGGCGGCTAAAGGTGGGAGATACATGTGCGAACAGAGTGTAGCGCAGAGCGAGGCCCGAGGCCCGACGTTCTGTCTGCAGAGATATTTTTTGCGCAACCAATCGCCGCCGGACAGGTGTCCGTGAGGGGAGGATCGCTTGCGATTTGGACAACTTTTCCACACAGCGATTTTTAATGAAGCGGCAGCCTTAAGATTTACGCCGCCTCCCCCGCTTCTATACACACGCCGCCTCGTCACGTCACGCCCCCGCGCCCTCCGTGTCCGCACATGCACTGCATATCTTCGAGTTGCGATTTGCTTGGCGTGGTTTCGTGCAGCGTTGGACAATCTCGCTCCCCCACACCGATCACCGCAACAGCAGATAGATGAGAATAAAAAACACAAACGCGAAGGTGGCAAGAATACACATGTGTCCTGCGCTTCCACTTGTAGCCAGTCTTCGCACCTCAGCTATGCTTCGCGTGATGGCGTCACCAGCATTCTCAAACGTCCCCTGCATACCGTCCAGCATAGCATTCTGGTCTCTCACCTCTGTCCCCAGATCAATCGCAAGCTATTCGCGTTTCACGCAGCAAAACGGAAGCGTCGGCAAGTCAGAGATCTTGTCTCGGCTGTCTTCACCGTTCCGCGTCCATCTCTCCAGCCTCACGGAAACCTGACTGAAACCTCACCGAAAACGCGCGTGTACGTACATGTCTCATTTCTCCTACGCGACCCCGAAGCCCATCGACGTTGGCATTATTGCCCGTCTCCATGGCCTCCTTGTCTGCTGCCGAGGACACATTGCGGCCCCCCGGCGGCGGTCTTCTCTGCTGCGCGCCGAAGAGCAGTTCCCTCCTCTCTTTGTCGTCATGCTTCTGCGGACGTAGCGCCATCTCTCCCCTGCCTCTCGACAATGGTTGCAGCGTGCGGTGGAAAACCAAGGAGAATTATGCATTCTGTCTCGAGCGCGTCAGTCAACATACCGTGTGCTTACATAAGATACAGGGGACTTGTTTACACCATGACCGATTCTGCAAAGCTCTCGTGGAATGCGAGTCCGCCATGTCGGCTGTAAACAGCTGCGGATGCGGCGCTGTCGTACAGCACCGAAAGGGGAGCAAACGGTAAACTGGTGTACACGTGTACAGGTGTCCTGCGTGTGCCACTTGCTCTGCACCCGACCAGCAGCCCATCCATTCTCTCCCGCTCCGCTCCGCTCCGCTCCGCCCCGCCCCGCCCCGCCCGTTAAGTACGTACTTACACGTGTGTCACCATCCCCTTTCCCCCGTACCTCGCTTCCCCAGACACACACCCCCCTGCCCCGCCGTCACCCTCACCTCATCATGCGACCGTCGCGGCGCGCGTCCGCCATGGCGGCGCAAACCCTGACCACCACGGTAACGCCAGGGCCGCAATGCGCTCATTGCTTCCGTCATCTGCTGCACGACATCGCCTACGTCGAGTGCGCCTTTCCCCTATGCGACAGACTCCCGCTCTGCATCGACTGCTTCGTCGTTGGCGCATGCGCCGTCGCCCCGCATCGCACAAATCATCCCTACAGAGTCGTCGAGAAGCTCGAATTACCTGTGTATACCCCCGAATGGTCTGCGCAGGAGGAGACTCGCTTGCTACAGGCTTGCTTGACCTTTGGCCTCAACCAGTGGAAGAAAGTCGCCGACTACGTATGCACGAAGACCCTTTACAAGTGCGAAATGCACTACAATGACGTTTATTTGCACTCCAAAACTGCCCCGCTACCCTCGGACGAAGCCCTCACCGCCCCCCAACAAGTCCAGGAAGAGACCGTCGTCATGCAAGCCGCGCCGTCTTCGCCTGCGATTCAGAACAGTCATACCACATTCCCTGTCGCCTCTTCTTTTGTCACGTCCAAAGGAAAGTCGAAAGGAAAGGGTAGGGGGCGCCCTAAGGGCAAGCAAAAGTTCACACCGAAGGGCAAGCGCGTCACCCCCACGGAGCACGATCCGGCCGCGTCGGCACACTCTATCCCCGCGCCCCCGCCCGGTCAAGTCCACAATTCACCAAAGGATGGACGCTCATTGCTGAAGAAGAACGACGACCCTGATCACCCAAACCAACCCGCTGAAGGCGCGCTGCAGGGCTTCTCATGGCAGCGACAGGATTTTGATGTTGAATTTGATGACCAGGCTGAGACCCTGATTGCCGACTTAGCGATTGCGGAGGATGATGATGATGAAGTTGTCGCACTTAAGAGTAGGCTCTTGGAGATCTATGATCACCGCTTACAGGTAAGGGAGGCCGTCAAGAAGATTATTTTTGACCGTAACTTGCTTGACTTTTCAAACCTTAAGGCTGTTGACCGCCGTCACACTCGCGATGAAAAAGAACTTAGTGCGAGATTGCACGCGTTTAAGAGGATACTGGATCCTCTCAAGTTTTCCGCGTTTTACGACAGCGTTATGTTTGAATATCGTCTGGCAAAGGATATGTATCTACATGCGAGTGGCAAAGAAAACGGTTTGCGCACAAAAGCCGAGATCGATATCTATGAGATCGATGCGAGGAGACGTACCGCCGAACTTGGCTTGATTGACCGCAAGGAACGCGACGCGGCTGACAAGAAGAGTCTCGGACGCACAAAAGCAACTCCGTCTCCTGCACTTGTTTGTGCCGAAACCCGCCTTCAAGGCATCGACCCAGGCCAGAATAGGGAAAGCACACCATCCACTCCGGCTTTGAATACTAATGGGACGCCGGCTGGCTCCACCGAGAAGGGCTCGCCTGTAGGTGTGGCTGCGAGTCCATATGCGACTCCGGGCAGTCCAAAAGAATCCAAGACGGCGAGGCTTCGGCGCACGCGAGAGGCAAAAGTGCTCGCAAGGAGTAAGTATCCACAAGTCAGCGCTATGCGAGTGGATAGAGAAGAGGGCGTATCAGCCTTGACAGAACCCGAAAAGACGCTCTGTTCGGCCCTCAGAATGCTGCCGATGGATTTCCTGAAGCAACGAGACGCAATGTTACGCGTATCGGAGCAACTTCTCTCAGAAAAAGAGCGCATGGAACAGAGCAAGAACTTGAGCTCCAATGTCCCCGAATTCGCCTTGAGAGCTGGTGCATTTTCGTCAACTGCCTGCAAGAGCGGTAGTAAATCAGTCGAGACGGTGGCCATTGCTAGTGTCCCAGTCACTGCGGGGCTCACAGTCACGACTAGCATCACACGAACAGGAACACGGGAAGATCACATCATTAGCGGTTCTCGGCATCAAATCAAAATCCTTAACGTCACGCCGAACAGCGACAGCGTAGGCAGGGTATGTCATGCGACGCTTCCAGCTGATTCCACAGTCGCTCAGGTGGAGATTAAACAACATGAGGCTATGAGCCAGGAGATCCAGATGCACTTGACGTATTGCGGTGCACCGGAATTCAACCGGGAAGAAAAAAAGCAGGAAGAAGAAGTTGAGACAAACGTCCAGTGCGTAAAGGTCGAAGACAAACTCAGAAAAGAACTAGGAGATGGTGTGGCACTAAGTCGTCCGCACTCCACGACAGTGAGACTTCAACTTAAGCCTCCCCAAGTTGAGAAGTCTGTGGCACGCAGGCTGGATGTCAGCAACTTCACAACTACTCACCTACCCTCCTCCACCGGTGATGGGTTGAATCAAGGTGAGCATCGCTTAGATGGTGGGTCTGCGCAACTGTCCGCTGCGACGAAGGAAACCCAACCAGGTCATAACAGCGCAATAGTGACACCAGCCAGAAAACGAGGGAGAAGACCGAGCAGCATACGGCGCTCCTCGCGACGTCTTGTTGATGAGAAATTATGGACGAAGAATAAGACTGACGAAGCGGTGATCGCAACGAATACGCAGTCCTTGCAAGAAGAGAAAACTGTGCTGGAAGGAACGAGATCTGGAACAGGCCCGACCGCACCACACGAAAAGCACAAAGACGATGAAGTAGAAGAAGTGATTCCAACTATTGACGGGCAAGGAGACAAAACAGGGAGAAATATCTCTGCGCTTAGGTCAAGGGATCTTGCAGCGCAGCTTCATCGCAACCCAGACGATGATAATGTTGTACGGGTACCTAAGCTTGAAGTCACTGAGGAAGTTTTGGATGGAGGTGACGGAAATGACGTACCCAAACAGGGCCCAGAGAAAATAGCTTCAGCAGTAGAGGTCATTGAAATTGCGTCTACAAGCGGTGAATCTGAAGTGCTGGCGAAGCCGAGACGTGGAAGGCCGCGGAAATCGGCGAAGGCTCGGAGAGATGCGCAAGTGTCCAAGGTCACAGACGGTCCAGTAATTCGTAGACCGAGACACAGGCGAGGCGCGAGTGGGCGAAAAGTCTCTGTAGTATCTGATGGAAAAGGATTGCGCCCGGGTGGGTTAAGGTTGAGGCTGAATTTGGTCCCAAGCGAGGCAGAGAGTTCGGAAAAGTCATCCGTACCGTCGACCCCAGTTGCAGAGGACGACGAGGACAAAGACTATGAATTAGAAGAAACAAGTGAAGACCAAGATACTCCAACTCGCGCAGAACCAAGGCGTCCAGAATCTCAAGACGTACTGTTCACACCAACTAGAAAATCGTCCAGATTAAGTGAGCGTCTTCGTGAGGTCGAGAAACCTCTTGTCACAGTCTCGCCCTCAAGGTCACCGCGGTCACCCGAAAAGGAGTCCAAGGCATCACCCTGTGTAGATGAGCCAGGGCTCTCGACGCCGGAGCAGCCTGTGAAAAGAAAACGCGGACGACCTCGCAAGTATCCAATTGGGCAGAGTCCGTCCGCGCGGGCAGCATCTGGTCGTAAACCACCTGTGACACCGCATACTGGGAAAAAGCGAGGTCGTGCTTGCCTGTCAGAGATTGGGCAGAACCGTCCAAGTAAGACGAGGCGAGTGTCAACAAATGTATACGAGTTGCGACGTAGACGTTAGAGTACTGCACATAATGCACCATGATTAATTTTCTACTAACAAGGATCTAACTTTCCGGGCATCGGTCTCGAAGACGACTGCCGCGTTGAGCAGCGTATGACTTCCTGGGATGACTCACGTGAAGGGTTTTGAGTTAAGTTAGTTTAATAGCTTCTGCGTGTTGACCGAATGAGCGTGGAGAGAGTACTTGCGGTGGCATCAGACAGATTCATGAGACCCTTGTACGCGTCCGAAGCCTGTTTGCGAGCGGTGTGAGAGTCTCGCAGATGCCTGTCTAGAAAGGCCCAGGTGTCATCTTTCTCCCGCGACTTGTCTGTGATCCAGTACAGCTGCGTCGCATGGTATGTCACACCTAGAACTGCGCGATCAGTGTACCACGAAAACTGCATCAATGGAAGAGAACATACACAAAACGTCAATTCGTCAGAACCCACCCCAGTTACAAGAGCGAAAGCAGCTACTTCCTAAGCAACTTTGTTACCTAGGCAGACAAATGTGAGCTGCTTGTCCAAACCATGCAAAAACGTACATCCGGGTTCGAGTATCCCGCAAAGTGCGCCATCTCATCGACGAGCATAGCCGCCTGCCGGGCAGCATTTCCCGCATTCGTGGGGGAATGGTGGAGTGCGAGAGCCTTACTCCAATGTGGGTGAAATTTATCCATCATCTGGAGTCTCGTCCTGGCAGCAAAAGCGAACCTCTCCACGGGATCATCCGACATCTCTTTCTCCGCGAGCACGGCGGCCAACGTGCGGTTGCTGGTCGCGACGAGCCGGTCGACGACGTCGAGCGGACCGCGCGGGAACATGCGCGCAGCCGCGGGAGACCATCCGAGAGCGTGCACGGCGGCGGTGATGGCTTGCGGCGTGAAACCGTGGGTGGGGACTTCGGAAAGGACGGTGGCGTATAGATCGTCAACGTCCGAGCCGCAGGGCTTGGAGCCTTCTGCAGACACGGAGGCTTCTGCAGACGCGGGTGCGCAGATGGAGCGGGAACGCAGGTGCGCCGGGAGACGGGAGACAGCGAGACGAAACATGGTGGACGGGATCGTGTTGCTGTACCGGACGTAAACGGAGGAGATGACAAAAGAAGGCATACTGCGGTCGAGGAGGTAGGTGATGCATATGCATCACAGCAAGGTTTCAAAGCACCTGCTACGCGTGTACAGCGTGTACCGTAAGTTGTGCCGTGCACACGTCAGAAATGAAGTTGATGAAGGAGGGGATCATCTCTCTCCCAAAAGTTGAACAATGACCCACAGCTGTTGATGTCAACAGCTGTCAACAGCTGTGACATCACAGTAGTGTACACAACCAATTGGAAGATGGAATGCTGGGACACTGGAAGGTGGAATGCTGGGTACACCTTTATGTGCTGGAGAGTACGCCCTGATCCTTTACAACAAGATGTGGACATGGGCAGCGAGATGCCTCTGTGGAGATCAAGTGAACGACCTGCGCTCCTCGTCCTTCAACCGGCTCCGAACTGGAGCCCACGAAAGAAATGCAAATGCCACAGATGTACGGCACAACATAGAGTCATGCTTTACACGTTCATATCAATCACCTAAAATGTACACCTATCTCGGCAGCCTCTGCGTCACGCGCTTCCTACTCAAAAGAGTCCAGATCTCAGCAGGCGATCATCACGAACAAAAAAGCCCCTGGCTTCACTCATGCTCCTCCTCATATGTCATAGGTCCTCATATATTTGTAGAAAGTCCATTGCGCACCAGTCCGACTATTCACACGTGTTGCTCATAAACGCACACAAACCCCTGCCCATCGCTTGCTGCCGACGCAGCCGGAACGCAGAGGTTAAGCAAAAAAAGCAAGTCGGACCGCGCTTCCCATGTAGTCGTAATTAGCCCGAACATAAGAGATGCCACCCTTCGTCAGTTCACAACCCCTCCCAGTTGAACAACACCGACTTCCTGTCACATCCCTAGACCCCGATAGCCTGCCCCTCCTCCCTCTCACAACCGTGAATGCATACCCTGCCATAACGTTCCTTTTTCGTTGTGTCCCTGTGAACAGCGAGTAGAACGCACTAGCCCTGCATCGCTGCGTCCTCGTTTTCACCTTGTTGTGGCGTCTCGCCTGGTCTCGGCGTTTCCGAGGTGTCCATCTGGTTTTCGTATTGCCTCATGACCTCACTAGGCACCGTCGGCGCCCTGCCATGCTTCATGGCGGCGTTTCGTCTCTCTGTCTGCGACAATACGATGTTCTTCATGGCATCCTTGGGCATGCTCTTGGCGGGCACAGCGGCGTTGAAGCCCTTACGCTGATTGTCCATGGCCTTTGCAAAGCCAGCAGCCTGGCTTTCCACCTCGTAGCTGGGCCCATTTCCATACAGCTCGTCGCGTTTCTCCGGGTGATAGAACAGAATCTCTTCGAGCAACTCACGGCGAATATAGGCCAAGCCGTCAATCTTGTTCATTCCCAACCTCTTCTCAAAGTCAAACTCCTTCTCAGTGAGGTCCCGCGGGCGCGGTCCGAACCCTAACGGGTCCCTCCACTCCTTAAAGTAGTTTGTCATAAGGGCATCGTAAGCGGTAATCCTTTTCTGCGGATCAAACTCGAGCATTGCCTTAATCAGCTGGAGGGCCTCTGGATCTGTGCCGGGAGCGAATATTGTGTTCAGGTCAGTGGGTGGCTTGGGCTTGACGGACTTGAGATACTGCTGGGCCTTTGGGTTCCTGAGTCTGGAAATAACATCTAGAGTAGGGGTACCGGTAAACTCGGTAATGCGACGAAGCTGATCAATGGCATCACCGCCTGGGAGAAGCGGGGAGCGTAGGAGCATCTCTGCAAAAATGCAACCCGCTGACCAGACATCAATAGCGCGGCCATAATTGTTCTCATGCGGCATGATGAGCTCCGGGGCGCGGTACCAGCGCGTGGCAACGTACTCTGTCCACAGGACCAAATCAGCGTCGTTCTCTGCGCGAAAGGCGGCGCGAGCAAGACCAAAGTCGCATATCTTAAGCGAGCACTTAGAGTCGACGAGAATATTGGAAGGCTTCAAATCGCGATGCAGCACTCCGGCGGTGTGGAGATACTGAATACCGCGCAAGAGCTGGAACATGAGGTACTTGACATTTGCCGGGTTGAGCGGTGCGGTGGAGCGGATGACGCTGGAAAGGTCGCAGGGCATGAGCTCGAAGACGACGAAAGTGTCGTTGAAGCGTTCGCGGTCGGAAGGGACAAGGATATCCTTGACTTCGATGACGTTGTTGTGGCCGCGAAGGAGGCGCAGAAACTTGAGCTCGCGGAGAATGCGAGTGGCCATGGCATATGTGTCGAGCACACGCTTGATGCGCTTCACGGCGACGACATCACCCGTGACTACATCCTGGGCGGAGGCGACGACACCGTAGGCGCCCTCGCCGATGACCTGGTTGAGACAGTAGCGGTTTGCGAGGAGAGGCTTGTCCGCCATGGTCGGAAAGCGTTTGGGACTTTACCGGAAGGGAGGGGGGGGAGGGGGGGTTCGGGGAAAGGGGATTGGGGGAGCTGAGGATAAGAAGGGGGGGAACGAGGAGGGGCGGGTATGTGATTAGACAAACAGGACCGTTAGGTTGCAGGAAGACAAAGGTTGCCAGGTGTGTAATTTTGGGATAAATGTAACGCGCCGGCTGTTTTTTGCATCGTTGGGCACCTTCCACGAAGACCTTGCTTGCACGCCCACGAAGATGGCCCACCATCCAATCACATTAGGCCGACCGTTTCACACGAACTGCCGCCGCCCGAGCCTCCCGAGCAATCCGCACCAGCCTCACCAGCTCCACCATCGCCATCGCCAGAATCCGGCACGTCTCCGCGTCCTCCGCCTCGCCCAGCGCCACGCGCAGCATCCCCAACTTCCGTCCAGCCTCTATCTCGGCCAGCTCCAACTCCCACTGCACGTCCCCCTCCCCCTCACCCTGTCCCACTGCCCCCGCCGCATCACCCAGCCTCACAGATGGAGGAGGCAAGCTCCGCACAGGCCCCCGCCCTTCCACTCGATTTCCACCTCCTACGCCCCGTCCTCCACTCCCACCCCTCCCAACACCCGTCTCCAACGTCCGCTCTGCTCCCCCCGCAGCCCGTGCAACCTGCTGTCCCACCGCGCCCCCGCCACGTGCTACATGCTGTCCCACGGCCCCGCCAGCCCTTGCCACCTGCTGTCCTCCACCGACTCCAGTCCTTGTCACTTGTTGTCCCATCCCGCCATTAGCCCCCACATGGACCACCCTTGGCATCAGCTGCCTGCCGCCCTCGCCCTCGCACCCGACGCAAACCACTCGCCCGCTTCCCTCTCTTAGCAGAGGCAGTGCGCATCTCTCGCACGCCGCGTCCAGCATCGTCCAGCCCTGCAGCAGCTTCTCGCCCAGCCGCGCGCTCATCGCGTCCCGCTGGCTCCGACCCGCGGGCACGACCGCGTGCGACACTTCCCCCGCCCCGTCCGCTTCCTCCGTCTTGTCTTCCTCCGCCGCCGGCCTGGACACCACGTCCAACCCGCACGAGCAACATACCACCCTCCCGCTGCGAGACCGCGCCAGCGGCATCGTGCAATGCGCCCGCGGGCAGGTTTCCGCGAGCATCGTCCAACCTTCCAGCAGAAGGCGCGACAGCTCTTGTACCCCCGTCGACGAACTGGATCCGGGGGGCGGCGTCGCCTGCCTTTGGGGGGGGCTCGACCCTTCCCCGTTCTGCTGTGAAGGTGTCGGTTCGGAAGAGGCCGCCCTTTCCATTCTTTCCAGTCCTTGCACTGGTTGTTACAGTCGCAGATGCTACCCTTCTAGGCGCTAGGTGAGGAGGAGAAATTTGTCTCAGGGTTGGGACGCTTAACAGCGTAGGGCGTGGCGACGTTTTGAGACGGCCGATCGCCCTCCCCTCCAGAGGCAGAATTTCCGCAGTTGGTTTTTGCCAAGCAATATGACACGTGTATCTATGCGCGCTGGACACGCTTGTATCCAGATGACATGTGACCTCATAGTGCACACGTACATATGTGGGTACTGTTCAACTTGTTTTCTGGACCTGTGCTTGTTCAATTCGAAAGAGAAAGATGCCCCTCGCCACTGCCCTTGCCTTCTGCGTTGCGGAAGAATAGATTTTAGTCAGAATTGCATGTCCTTTCTAATTGCTTTCAGAAATGCGCGACAAAAATATTTTGAGCAACCATGAGACGTTTCTACCGACAACTTCCAAACTGTAAAAATGTCTGCTTGGTTGCTGCATGTAGCCATACTCGTGCACGGGTGTATCTTCCCACCATGTGATGATAAGTTTCTGCTATCAATATGATATACAGATTGATGATTCCTGCTGCATCCTTCTGAGTCAAGCACCGTCAACCTTAGTCTTTACTAGTCCCTGTTATCCTGCATATGCCCCATTTACCTACCGCTATACATCCCCTATAAGTACTGCCACACTTCATTGCTAGTAAGAGAAAAGGGCAGAGCATTTTTAAAAACACAGTTCTCAACTTCTTCTTTCCGATCGATCTGAAAAACGCGACGCTTGTGCGGCGCGCATACCGATCATCGGGGTTTACCATTCTGGGAAGCGTGACGCTTGTGCGACGCGCTTACCGGAGACCGGACCGATTCGAATTACCGAGATCGGCCACAGTGATCACTACGGTCAGAATTTCATCTTTGAGAATCGACCTTTCTCTATATCTATTAAGGAATTGGTTGCATTATTCGTTTCACCATGAACTTTGGCTCTGGATCCTCAAGCGGCAGCAATTTCTCCATTTCTACACCTATCAACCACCCGAGCCTTCGGAAGCATGACTCCGAATCTACTC